AAAATCGGTTCGTATAATCCTCGTAGCGGTTAAACAGAATGCAATGTTTGTCCGAATCTTTAAGCTATTTTTAGAATCAGCGCGCTGCGCTATTGTCCGCGTACGTATTTGCGTTATATGGTAAGTTATATAGTAGCGCGTCGAGAGAACCCCATCGAGCCGCCTTAGACTAAAGTAAAAAAAAAATCCCATAAAAGAGCTCGTGGATTATAAAATACCAGGCTGGAATAAAGCCAATAAAGCTATGGCTCAGCAACTTTTACATCATAGTAATTATATTTAGTAAATCTAGCTCTCTTTATTCCTCTTTCCCCATTTAATGTTCGACTAACTGATGTATATATGTTTTTACCACTATTGCGAATTTTCTCGCTTCCTGATTGCGTGGTCTAGAGATGGGGGAAATAGAAGGACGTATCAATAAAGTACGTCAGCAAATCACACGTGCGCATGAAGCCCAGTTTTCTTCCAAATTTTACCCCGGTTTTTGTTGAAGTTTTTTTTGTTTTTTGTTTGTTTTGTTTTTTGTTTTTGTTTTTTTGTGGTCAAAAGAAATTTCCTCCAGTTTTCCTTGGTCCTCTTATTTACCACTTTTTTTCGTCATTCGTCATTTCGTCAAATACGTTGTGGACTCAACAGTTTTGACGGCTAGATGCCCATATGACAAAAATCGGGGTAAATTGGTTAAATGCTATAATATTTAATACTTATTTTTTATACATCCATATTTAAAGTAGTTTAGTTTTAGTGAGCCACACGTTCATTAGCCCTGGGCTATTAATTAAGTGCTCCCATTATGAAAAAGTCATTATTATTAAACAGCGTTAGGTTCAAGATTTTTCGTGTTCAAAGGTTGCTTTTTCCCCCATATTGTCGCTTTTGGAAACGTATTGCATCTATCAATCATAACTATTATTTATTTTCGTCTTGGGCATGGCATAACAGAAGAAAGCAATGACTCAATTTCGGTTCGCTCCGACAAGCTGAGGCAACAAAGAAGTCTTCATTGCATTCGGAGTGCTCACACTTAATCCGTGAAACAAATACTAATTTTTAGCACCAAATAGTGAATTAAACAATAAAATACAAAGGATTCTGTATGAAATAGTACTAATTAGTACTATTTAATGTTCACGGTTTTAGGTGCGTGCACTCTACTTTCAACAATTTCCATAATCACTTCAACACTATGTTTACTTGTTTGGTTTTTGTCTTCCCTCGAGAATTTCACTTAGGTATGCAGTAAAAATTTTCTCTGGCTTTTCTTCTTTTGTACCGTATCATCGTCTTAACCCTCTTTACTATCATTGCATTGATCACAGTGTTAGAAGCTAGAAAACGGTTAAAAGCGAGATCCTACGTACGTATATATTGCTCAATCTTTGATTTTTAGTTTTTCGTGAGAAAATAAAACATTGACGACAGAATCAATTGTCCTTCTGGCCCTTGAAATCATCCTTCTACTTTCATAGTAAATAAAACATCATCAAATGATGATAAAAAGCCACACACACAGAAAAGCCTTTTTTCAATAAGGAGAATCTTACAGCCTTCAAGTAATAATAAAAAAGCATGAAAAAATTAATTCAAAAAATCTATTGCTCTCTCTCTCTCTCTCTCTCTCTCTC